ACTCTGCAGAGACCCTGCTTTTCTGGACCAGGGCAGAACTGTCCCAGTGTCAAAGGTCGAATTTTAATGATCTCCTCCTAGAACTGGCTTGGTTATTAAGTCCTTTCAGGTGATGTAGTCATGAAAGTATATAAACCACCATGAGTCATGGGAATTTCTCAAGAGGCTGCGTCAGCATTTTTGCTTCAGTTCTCTGATAGCTTCATAATGTCTTTCCTTTCTTTATCTCTGAAGGTATTGCTGCTGGCAAGTCTTCTACTTTAGCCCTTCATCACAACCCTCTCACCCCAAAGCAGGAATGCCCTTGTTTGGTCAGCTGGTCATTGTTTGATATGGAATGCCCTATGAGATCTCATTTGTGTATATAGAACTTGTTGTTAAGTGCTGTCAAGGCGGTTCCAACTTATAGCGACCCTTTATAGGGTTTTTGAGGAGTGGCTGGTGAGTTTGAACCACAGACCTTGTGCTTTATCCTGCAGCGCCACACCAGGACTCCATTTAGAACTTAGAGTCTTTAAAATCTATTTATATGAATTTGTTGGTCATTTCTTTGCCATGTAGGTATCATTCTCTTTTTTCACTTGCTTTTAAACTGCATAGATTTTCTGACAAAGAGAACTTTAGAAAATTTTAAATAGTTTCATCAATGTTATTAATATTTTTCTTAATAATGTCTACCCTCCATTTGACTCTTGAAAAGCATTCTTCTTCCCTGTTATAGATTTGCTAGGCATTCATTTAAACTTTCCTCTAGTTTTAGCTGGCCTGTATTTAAAAGGTTTATTTCATAAATAAGTTAATTAGATGAATCTGGAATCATTTAGGTGGACATATGGAGCCCTGGTGTGGTGCTGTAGGATAAGCACTGGACTGCAAGTCAGTGGTTCAAATCCACTAGTCGCTCCTCAGAAAAACATAAATAGGGTCACTGTGCATCGGAGATCACTTGACGACACTTAACAACAACAGCAGAGTATGAATCAAAATTAATTTTACTATTACTGCTTTACTTTCGGTGACAATATACACAGCATAACTCAGACCCATTCCAGCTTCGAGACAATGGTGATGACGTTCTTCACGTGTGCCAGGGTTTCCATTATTTTCCTTCTTGTTATTGCGTAAGTTCATATCTGTAACAAGTAACTTACAATGCCTCTATTTGCATGAATTTACTGAAAATCCCCATTTATTTATGATGCTACCGTCTTTTCTAGTCTACATTTTATACAAAATAGAGTTTCTAGTTCAGTCTTCTATTTTACAAAGAATGGTGGTCTACTATGGGTTAAGATACCAAAGGATAAAGGAGAACTTTTCTGATTCAATTAATTTTTGCAAGTTAAAAACCCTTAATAATAGAACTTTTTTTTTTACCTAAAGTGTTTTCTTAATTTATATCTGTGTTTGAAAATTTCTTATCTTCTTGCTTCTTACTTCAATACATTACATAAACTGTACGCCATAATTGACATTAGTTTAATTTTATTTCATGATCAACAAAACAAAACAACAATGAAAACAATTACAACCAAAGCAATCGCCCCGCTTTTTGCTTTAATTTCATATTTCATACACTAAACAATGTTTCTAAGACATTCATGTTGATTGATTCATAACTTAGGACGAAGAAGGCAGCAGTCCAGCCAGGTGATTCAATACATCATATTTCTGCTCTCATTTCTCTAATTTGAGAGATACAAAGTAGTTTTTACTTCCAATATTAAGTCTAGATAAAACAATAAAAAACAAAACAATAAAAACATACACTTTGCTTTATATTCACATTAAACATTAAGGATGACATAAAAGTGTTTTTTGTTTTTTTTAAATAGCATTTCTACAAATTTAATTTAACACTCTTAAAATCTCACTTGGCTGTATGAAAACTTCTAGTTACTTATTAAAAACCAACTTATGACTTGGTAATTTGCTGACCTTTTCCCCCTCTCTTTCTTTCCTGTCCCTCTCTCCTTCCTCTTCTCCTTTTTCCTGTCACATTGCATTAAAGAGTATCTACTTACAGACACTATTAAAGTTAATTGTCTTTGAGAAACAATGCTATTTAAAACTAAATAAAAGTTTAAAAAAATGCTATACAGAATCTTCTATTACATAAGAAGGATTACCTTCTTGAGCCAGACACTATTAATGATGAGCACTGGAGCTCTGGTAGCGTAGTGGTTACGAATTGGGCTGCGAACCTTAAGGCCAGCAGTTCGAAACTACCAGCTGCTCCGCAGGAGAAAGATGAGGCGTTCTGCTCCCGTAAAGATTTACAGTCTCGGAAACCCTGTACAGGGTCGCTATGGGTCGGAACCGACTCCACGGCACTTAGCAACAACAACAACTGAATTGCAGAAACTAAAATGAAAGTAAGCTTCCTTCACTAATAATGCCAATTTGCAGAGAAACAAACAAATAGCAACATAAACAAAATGTTCTCTACATCAGAAATGAAGCACAGGTCTTGTTGGTAACACTCCAGTCAACTCAGAACCTAATATAAAAATCAGGGGGTGGGGGTGACAAGGGAAGGGACAAGCATCTGGTCACTGAAACTTTCTGGCACCCATATTTGGTGATGTTGTTGTTAAGTGCTGTTTAGTCAGTTCCAACTCATAGTGACCCTGTATAGGGTTTGAACCGCCGACTTTATGGTTAGCAATCCAATGTGGATCCTTCAGGATATGCCCTCCTTTAGGACAGTGGCCACTTGTGGAAGTGGATGTCCGTACCGAGGTCCTGGTGCTACCAACATGTTTTGTACAAAGACTCTTCAGCGATTTGGGGCTCAGAATTCATAAGGAAACAGATCAAGGAGGATCCCGGTTGGTTAAGAGGTAACCCAGGAAGGGTCATTCTTTGTGAATACCGCATCTATTTCAAAGACAAATTCTGTGTCCCAGCTGATCCTTGCTTCTTCTGTCTGTGAAGAAACAAAAGCAGATTCCTGCATAAGCTGCTTTCCTAGTTCCTAGATATAAGAATAAGGAAACAAAACAAAACTTGTCCCTTAAGAAGAATGGAAATTCAGAGTTTGTTTTCAGATCCCATGAAACCCATTTGTTGTTGAATTTATAACAGTATAGCAAAACAAGAGTGAGGAAGTTGCATTATTATGTTAGTAAATCCAAGGATTTTTGCCTTAGATAACTATTCTTGTTAGAGAACTATTCTTATTCAAATAAGTTTCAAATTTGAAGTGTAGCATGGTACTGCATGATAAGCACTGAACTGCAACATATAAGGTCAGTGGTTCAAGCCCACCACCCACTCCTTGGGAGAAAGATAAGGTTGTGGGCTCCCACGAAGATTTACAGCTTCGGAAACCCTATACAGGGTTGCTATGAATGACACCAACAAAGTGCTGTAGGGTAAGCACTGGACTGTTAATCACAGAGTTGGCAGTTCAAACCCACCAGCTGCTCCAGTAAAGATTTACAACCTCCAAAGCCCTAGATAGGGTTGCTATGAGTTGGAATCGACTCAACGGTAATGGGTCTTATGACAATAACAGGAGCGCTGATTGTATAAGCAGTTAAGCACTTGGCTACTAAACACAAGGTGGGTGGTTGAAACCCACCCAGCAGTTAAATGGGAGAAAGTCCTGGCAACCTGCCTCTATAAAGATGCAGGCTGGAAAACTTGTATGGGGCAGTTCCACTCAGTTATGGTTACATGGCGTCTCTAGGAGTCAAGAAATCAACTGGACAGCACCCAACAACAGGATACCAACGGCTTACTTTGCCTGAGTTCCTGCCTTCTTCATAAATCATCAGAATCATGAAACTAGAATTTCCTATGCATTGCCAATTTCTGCCACATAGCCATTAAAAATCCAAGTTATTAAGATGCCAATATGGTTCATTTATCATTTTAAGAAATTGAAGTTTGCAATTCAGTAGGGTAGAAGATTTTTATAAAAAGTGACACTGTGTTGTTGTTTGTTTACTCTATTGTTGTTGTTAGGTGCCATCAAGTCAGAACTGACTCATAGCGACCCCATGTACAGCAGAACGAAACAATGTCTGATCCTGGGCCAACCTCACTACCACTGCCACACTGGAGTCCATCAATGATGCCACCTGGCCGATCAATCTCGTTGGGGGTCTTCCTCTTTTTCTCTGACCCTCCATCTTAGCAAGCATGATATCCTTCTCCAATGACTGTTCCCTCCTGACAATATGTCCAAAGTATGAGAGACGAAGTTTGGCCATCTTGGCCTCCAAGGAGCACTCCTGCTGCACTTCTTCCAAAACAGATCTATTAGTTCTTTTGGCAGCCCATAGCACTTTTAGTATTCTCCTCCAACACCATAATTCAAAGGCATCAATTCTTCTATGGTCTTCCTTATTCACTGTCCAGCTTTCGCATCCATATGAGGTTACTGAAAATACCATGGCTTGGGTCAGGCACACCTTAGTCCTCAAGGTGACATCTTTGCTCTTCAAAGAATAGTTATCTAATAGTTTACTCTATAATGAAATTTCCTCACTCTTGTTTTGCTATACTGTTATAAATTCAACAACAAATGGGTTTCATGGGACCTAGTCACGTTGAAAACTAAATGAGTATCGTAAACTGCACATATCTAGCATTTTCCTTACAGTAAAATCTATATGCTAAATCATAGCTGCTTCTTGGATTAGAATCACTATCTCTAATAAGCCTTATATTGAATACAAAACATATAAATATATACTTATTTAGCGAAATATTTTTTTTTTATGTGACATACACAAAAATGTGTTTAAAGACATGATATCATGCATGGTAATGTCCAACTTGTGTGAGTTTATTCCGCTCAGAAATTTCCTAGTAGTTTGAACCATGACCTCAAAATTCTGCTCAGCCTATGAGGGTGCTTTAAATGGTTGGTAGAAAAATTCTACTATCTTTTCATTCCATTTTCCCACCAACTTTTTGAGGCCCCCCTGTGTTTATAATTCCCGTTCAATGAAAGACAAGAAACACAAAGCAAAGCAAGAACACCTTACTCAAGAATCTGGAAATGCCTTGATGATGGACTCGTAGGCAGGTGGGGGAGGTGTTGAAAAGCCAATGCGAAGGTTATTATTGGACCAGTGGAAATCAGGGCGGCTCAGGCTGTGGGATGTGTTGCTGGGAGAAGCGCTGGAAGATGGAAGCGTCATCAGGTGACTATCTGTGTCTATGGGAAGTGGTGGGCATTGCAGAAAGGGATGAAAAGTAGATGCCCTGAAACTTGATTTTCTTGGAAAGGAATTGTCTTGTTCCATGGAAGCTTGTCTCTGGAATGTGAGACTGGCCAGGCTGAGGTTGCTTCGACGCTCACAGCCACTGTGACGGTAAAATCCAGGTCTGTGGAGTCCATGGTTGTAAGAAGACCTGGAGCGTCGGCTGGTACTCCACTGAGAGATGGGGGCACTGGCTCTTCTTCGAGACAAGCAAACAAAGAGAGCCCAAATGCATCCTCCAATTACAAGTCCAATCGCCATGGACACGGTGAAGGACATTATCAGATCCTCTGAAACAAAACACACCAAAAAAATAAAAAATAAAAAAAAAATCAAACTGCCAAATCAATTTTTAAGTAGGTATTCCAGTAAAAAGACATCAGAACACACACAGTAGTAATGTACTAAATAAGCCTACTTCCGAAACCCTGTACTGGACCACTGAATCGGAATGGACTCGATGGCACTTAACAACAACAACTTTGAATTAAGCAAACAGGAGATGGCACTGGGTGTATATGAACAAATGGAAGATGATAGGATTCCACTTGATAACAAAAAAATGAATATCAGATGAAGTTTTTCTCAGTCGCTTTCCAAGTTATTCATGCTATTTTATAATCTTTAAGGATTAAGAAGTGAAAAAGAGTCCCATAGTTTAGCTTTTAAATTTTCTCAGAGTTACAAAAGCAGTCCAAAGCTTATTACTTTTGAGTTATAGTATGAACACGTGACAAATAATTTCATCATCTCACTGGTCTTGCCTTTTTCTCTGCTTGCTCTCTTCAGTCTGGTGCTATCTCCCACCTGCAGACTTCCTGCTGTCTCGGTTCCTGGCTCATTCTGAGATAGAAAGATGGCGGTAGCACCATCTGTTGGGCTGACTGATTTACATCCTATTTCCTGAATGCCTGAGCTGTCACCTGTAATTGACTCCTGATGACATGACCTATGCAGACAACTGGGCTCTTACTTGGTCACCAAGTTCCAGCTCATGCTGGTATCATGCCCTTGTTGTGATACTGAAATTCCTGTCTCTGAAGCATCATAGAATCTCTGCTTGACACCGTATCCTCCAATTCATAGAAACTGTATTTGTTCAGATTTCCTGTTCTGGGGCGGGGTTGCGGGAAGCAAATTCTGCTTCACCGCCTGTCCTTGTGAACTAAAAAAATTAAACTCTTGATTGAAACTGGGTAGATGAGCCCTTGCTTTACATTTTAAAATCTTTGGTTATTAGAAGACCCCTTCAGATTCCCCTCGCATCACAGTTCCCCACCCTTCACTTGTGACCAACCCTGAAGCCATATGGATTTTCTCACTATCCCAGTCTTCTAAGACTTCTTAGAATTCTCTGCCTTGCCATATAATTTTCCTTATACCTAGTTACTATTTATTCATCTTTTGTGTCTGAAAACCTTATTCTTCACATCAGGATCCATTTCAAAAATCACCTCTTTAACAAAGCCTCCTAAATTTCCTAGACAAAAATTAGTTTAGTAGAGAGGCAAAGCGAGCTATCTAATTGCTCATCAGCTATTGTATTTTAAAAAGCCCTGGATTGAAAATCAACTCATGGGGGTTGTGACATTGGGGGTGCAGGTAGGTCACAAATTCTTTGCAGTTCCTCCCATAAAGAGTCATTGTCCCACCCCTTGAACCTAGGGTGATTTCATGCTTGCTTTGATTAATAGAATGCTCAAGTATAAATAAGCTTCAAGAGAATGTTCAGCATCCACCCTTGCTGCTCGTAGCCATCTTGCAATCACCAGTAGATGAAGCAGCTCAGGCTAGCCAGCTAGAAAATAAGATGTTCCATCCCCATGTGGTGCAATGAATTGATTAATAGATCTCTCCTAGCCTTAGTCTTTATAACTCCCACCAAGTGACTCTTTTGCTGATGGGTCTGGGTAAGAGATGGTGGGAGAAGATATTGATAGGATGACTTGATCCAGTTGTGGCTCTTAACAGAGTTAATTATAACTGTAAAAACTTAAAACCCCAGTACTCGTTCTACAGTGCCACACCTGGACTCCTTGCATTGGTATAAAATGAGTCATCTCAGAAGCAAAGAGGGAGAGACCTCACTACCATCAAAGAAGATTCAGGAGTAGACTCACAGCATGTCTTTTAGACCCCGAGACCCCTGTGCACAGAACCTCTTCAACCCAGGGACAGAAAGATGTGACACCGGAGGAGGGGCAGAAGAGCAGCAGCATCAGAGCCAAGACCCAGAGCACGAGACAGAGTGATGGGCTTCCCAGCCCACAGAGCAAGAAAATTGGAGTGACTTCTGCCCGGAGACTGGCTTGCAGAGTAGGGTGCTTCCAGACGCTTAATTTTGGGAACTAGATTTGCTGACCCATGGAGCTAGAGCCAAGTGCCTTGAGGCTGAGGCTCATGGTAGAGTGGAGTGCCCTGTGAGCATTTATCCGCAGCCCTAAAGGAGGTTGTAACATAGACCAGGTAGAGAGAGGACTGACTGTGGACAAGTCTGAGGAAAGCTCTCCTTGACTGGAAGAACTGTGCCCTGGACATTCCTCATCCTGAACTGTAACCTGGCAACTTCCCTAATAAACTCCAGCACTAGTTCTAGAGTATGGAACCCAGCTGAGTAGAGACTGCTGAGGGGGAGGATGGGCGATACGTTCTTTATTATTTATTTATTTATTTATTTTTGCACCCTTTTCTTGCCCTGGCCAAAACTTACCAATATTCACATAGTTCTAGAAAAAAACGTGCCCATGAAAAAAGCCCACAGAGAAAAATAAATAAATCCACTGTGACAAATGCACACAAGAAAGATACACACAGGGGCAAATGCTAACCCTCATTGTTGTTGTTGTTGTTGTTGTTAAGTGCTGTCGAGTCGGTTCCGACTCATAGCAACCCTATATAGGGTTTCCGAGACTGTAAATCTTTACAGGCGCAGAAAGCCTCATCTTTCTCCCACAGAGTGGCTGGTAGTTTCAAACTGCTGACCTTAAGAGTCACAGCCCAATTTGTAACCACTATGCTACCAGAGCACCTTCTCAGCAATATAATTGAAAGAATTAGACCCTCATAAACATTCACAGGACCTTTATGAAAACTGACTCAGTGGCACTTAACAACAACAGTGACACATTGACAACATACTGATGACAACATTGAGCGTGCATGTGAACAGATGAGTGACAGTGGATTATGTGGCAAATCATTTACAAATCAGCCATGGCTCTGCCAATGAAATAATCCACAACAAACTTCAACTTCGAAAAGTTTGTGCGCGATAGGTACCAAAGCAACTCACAGAAAAACATCAACAGAAGTGCTTGGACGTCTGCAAACAAAATTTGGACTGATGCTCTAAGGAAGGTAAAAGGTTCTTTTAAAAAATCGTTACTGGTGATGAGACATGGATTCATCACTACAAGCCTGAGAGTAAATGGGAGAGTATGGAATGCAAACATCCTAAATCGCAGAGCAAGAAAAAGTTCAAAAGTCAACCATCAGCTGGAAAATTGAGGTTTACAATTTTCTGGGATTCTCAAGGGCCAGTATTGAAACACTATCAGGAAAAAGGTTCAACAATCATCAGTGCTCACTACTGTGAGATGCTCACTGAAAGGCTGAAGCCTGAACTTTATGTTAAATGCAGAGGACTGCTATCCAAGGGCTTTGTGATCTTGCATGACAGTGCACATCCCCACACCTCTGTTCACACTGCTGACACTTGGTAAAAACTGTAGTTTGAGGTGTTAAAGCATCCTCCCTATAGACTTGATCTTGCTCCATTGTACTTTCACCTGTTTGGTCCACCGAAAGCAGACCTTCGAGGATGAAGATTCACCTCTGATGAAGAAGTGAAGACAGTGGTGCTTTCGTGGTTCGCAGCTCAGCCTAAAACATTTTTAAATAAGGGAACACGAAAGCCTGTTGACAGATGGACAAACTGTATTGAAAAGCAAGGAGATTATGTCAAAAACTGATATATTTGTCTTTTCTACAAGTTGATTAAGATAAATCCTATCCAGAGTGAGGACAATTTTGATGCACCCTCATAGGATATGCAACAGAAGATAAAAATGGAAATAGCAGTAGAAGAGTGCCTGATACTGTGCCAGAAAATGAGCCCCTCAAGTTGAAAGTATGACTTCAAATATGACTAGGATAGAGCAGCCTCCTCAAAGTAGAGATGACCAGAATGAAGTGAACTGAGTAAAGCTTTAGGAAACTTTACTTGCTGATGGGGCACCTCTCAAAATGAGGAGAAACAGCTGCAAACATCCATTAACCATCAGAATTTGGAATGTATAAAATTTGAATCTAGGAAAATTGGAAGTTGTCAAAACCGGGATGGAACACATAAATATTGATATTTTAGGAATCTTTATAAAATGGACTGAGCTGAAATGGACTGGTATTGGCCATTTTGAATCAAACAATCATATGGTTTACTATGCTGGGAATGACAAATTGAAGAGGAATGGTGTCACATTCGTTGTCAAAAAGTACATTTCAAGATAAAGTTTGAAGTACAATGCTGTCTGTGATAAGATAATTAATATCCATACACCTACAATGAAGACTGTAGTCCTGGTGTGACACTGTGGGATAATGAGCTAGACTCATTGTATTTGAACTGCAAGGTCGGCTGTTTGAGCTCACCAGCTGCCCCTCGGAAACCCAATACAGGCTAACTATGAGTCACAAATGACTCAATAGCAGTTCAACGGCTTAACAGCAATACTGAAGACCGATTAATACAACTATTATTCAAATTTATGTACAAACCACTAGAGCTCATTTCTCAAGCTGCAGAAATGAAGAAAAAGTTCAAGTCTTTGTTACAATACTATGGGCAAAATGAGCCTTGGTGTGGCACTGTAGGTAACTACCAGGTTGGCAGTCCAGACACACCAACCACTATCAGAAATCCTAAACAGGGTCCCTGTGAGTCAGGAGACAACAGCAATGGCTAAAATATTGAAGGATACAGAGAGCATCAAAAGAAGATGGAAGGAATGCACAGTCACAATACAAAAAAAATAAAAAGTCAACATTTAACCATCTCACAAAGTAGCATATAATCAAGACCCAATAATACTGAAGGAAAAAGTCAAGCAGCACTGAAGTCATTGGCAAAAAAACGAGACTACAGGAATTCACAGAATGCAAATTTCAATCTTTCAACAAACTGATGCAGTACTGAAGGCCCTCATCCATCTACGCCAAAAAATTTGGAAGAAATTTCAAATATGGATCTCTTCCAATTGCCTGAGAGACCTGCTTAGTCAATTGGAAGAGA